ACACATAGAGAAACTGAGATAGCGAGACACTGGGCACCTTGTCCGTGTTACACAGCTCACATGTGGTAGAGCTGGGATTTGAGCCCAGCCAGTCTGGAGGTGGAGTCCATGCTCTTCGCCACTATATCAGGAGACCCCTCTGTGTCTCCGTTGGAAGAGACTTGGAAGTTTGACCTCAACAATGCACAAAGCCAGCAGCAACACAACAGATCACAAAGCTCCTTTAACCAGCAATATAAAACATGCACACTTCCAACGAGATGACATTCTGGAAAGCAGAGACAGTAAAAAGATCAGTGGATGCCAGGGTTAGGGAGGAGGAGGGGAGGAATGGGCAGAGCACATAGGATTCTCAGGGCTGTGAAATTATTCTGTATGATACCGTAATGATGAATACATGTCATTATACATTTGTCCACATCCAAGAAGGTACCATGTTTACCAGGAGTAAACTCTAATGTAAACTATGAACTCTGGGTTATAATGGTGTGTCAATGTAGCTTCAGCAATTATGAAAGATGTCCCACGATGTTGATACCAGGGAGGCTTAGGACTGTGTGCGCACACACAGGGTGTGTATGTGCAATCTCTATACCTTCTGCTCAGTTTTGCTGTGAAGCTAAAAGTGCTCTAAAAATAGTCTTAAAAAAACATGCACACAAGCCATATTTTCCCCACTCCCAGTGCACTTTCCATAGGCTGTCAGTGCCTTAACCTTTTGTCTAGGAGAACAATCTGTCTTGTGTTCATAGGAAATGCCAGACCATGTCTTCCCAGTTCTAGTAAACTTGGACATAACTAAAAAAAAATTTTTTTTCCGGGTGCCTCAGTTGTCCTCTATCACAGATGGGAATAATAGCAGTACCTACCTCACAGAGTTAATGTGAGTGTTCAATAAGGAAAGGCACCTCAAGAGCTGATAAGGATGTCTGATGCACAGTAAACGTTCAATACCAGCTAGCTATTACTACTACTACTATCACAACTATCATTGATATGCTGGAAAAACTGACCATCTTGTATGGTAAAGTTACACACCTATGAGGCAGACATATTGTATATTGAAAGCAGTGTTACTCTAGGGAGAGTAAACACTCAAGCTAAACTAAAGTACCCCTTTTGAAGCAATAAAGAAATGACCAAAAAATCACAGACACTTCCATACGCTTCTAACTCCTTATATGTAAATCTGTGATTTTAATGCACTTGTGGAGAGCAAGGATTAGCTTTGAGAGAATAACAATTGTCCTTTTTAATAATCAAGAGATTATTATTTGGATTTACAAAGCTGGCTGTGGAGGTGAGAGCATCCGTGTAGCTACACAGTTATGTCCTTTCTTAATAATCTCCACTGCAAACATTATTGTCTGTTAGCTACAAAGATGTTCTGACAGCGTGGTATCAAGGACAAGCATAAGTGAAGGAACTTTCATCAGATCTTAAAACTGAGCCAATTGTTAGTAGACGGTTTATCATGTCTTACTTGAATATTTGGGAGTAAAATATTCCTTGCATCAAAAATAAACCAAGATTTTTCCTTTCACCTCTATACTAGCAAAAGAGTTATTATTCCATAGTCATGTGTATTTGTCTTGCATGATCCCTATGATAATGGCCCAGAGAAGTGTTTTGAATCAACATGATTTTAAACAAATCAAGGCTGTGAGATTCGCTTATTTTAGCCAGGAGTAGCTGATAAGCCTAGAAGTCATAAACTCCAATATGGGAGATTTAGATTGTTATTCAGCAAATATTTCTTCTCGCCCCTCTCCCCACCCTCCCTTCTCTGCCCCATGGATATGATATTTGGCATGAACGATGGATGTCAGTGGTACTGACACGGTGCGGGTTTGAAATGTGTCTGTGGCATTGTGCTCTTCCTGTCTCTCGTCACAGGAAGAGCATTACTTCGTAGCTGCCGTTCCAAGGAGGATGCGAGATGTGTGGTAAGACCAGAACCCTTTCCATAGGCTGTCAGGGCCTTAACCTTCTGTCTAGGAGAACAGTCTTGCGTTCATAGGAAATGCCAGACCATGTCTTCCCAGTTCTAGTAACCTTGGACATAATTAAAAAAAAAATCTTTGGGTGCCTCAGTTGTCCTATATCACCTTGAAGGTGAACCCTGCAGAACCCAGACAAGATCAGCTGAAACCCAGCTCACCAAACAGGCTCGAACAATTAACACTGACCTGACTTTGGGGTGGTTTGTTTCGAGCCCTATCATGGAGGAACTGACTGCTCCACGTGGTTCTGGCTCAGTGCTACCTTGTGGGGTGTTCCTCATGGATCTTCAGCTACATTCATCTTCATGCCTACCTGCCCTCTTAGGAGGACCTCCTGAGGTAATTTACATGAAAGCATCTGGCAAACAGTCAAAAACTGTACAACGCAAACAGCATCACTAACCAACTAGCACTTCAATTTTCAGTCATTATTCTGTGTTTCTAAGAATTTTCAAATGCTGAAAATTATACACAAATTCTCAGATTATAAGCACTATTCTCTGGGTGCCTATAAAGTCCCAGGGACAGAGGAGAGAAAATCCCACCTTCATCCTATCCTTGGTTCAATCACTTAGTTATGAATCTCTCACAGTGGTGTGGAATTACTGCTCAGGATGGTTAATTGTGCAAAGCTTAAGCCTGTGGGGGGGGGTCCCACTCCTTCCCTGGGGACACACTTAACTACTCAAGGTACTGTAGTCAAGACCCAACTTGAACGCAGGAATCAAGTTGTCTTGTTTTAGATCTAAACTTCCAATTCCCTGTCCCCCTTCCTAAGATCTTGATTTTTAAAGTTTTTAGAAATATGTTTAAAGGTTCGGGGTCAGGAGACACGGAGAACCTTTTGCAATGCATAGATTTCTAGTTATACATTTGCTGGCACTTACTGTGTGCAGGATATATATAAAACATCATGTTATAAGTGAAAGAAAGCAATAACAAGTGTATGGCTGGTTTATGGTACTGTGAATGGTATATAACAACTCAAGCATGCCATTTTTAAAGAGTTGACAACTCTTTCAGTACCTTGAAAGTTACCCATGTCTCTGTTTGATTCCGTTCTCACTCTTAGGCTGAATTTCTAATTATTTTCTTAGACATGATTTTAACTAAATCACATACATTGGACAGTATACAAGTACTTTAGTTCTTTTCTGGGGGGGGGGGGGGCAGTAGAATTATTGAAGAGACGGGGAAATCTTTATTTGGTGACTGGCATGCCATAATAACCTTGGTGAAATGAGGTGTGGATAATGACCCAACTGAATTTTTACAAAATTCCAAGAGTGAGAGTAATGAAACCAGCCTACTTAGGATTTTGTTCTGTTTTGAGAAGACTGCAGTCAGAAGAACTTCATTTTTCCTTAAAATTGTAATCTTACTACATTTTCTCTAGCATTTTCTAGATACTCTACTAGTCTCCGTTATTACTGATGCCCTCTAGTGAAAGTACATGGGAAATTCTTCGAGCAGGTACAGAGAAGATCAGTAGAGAGAGTCCCCACTTTGCAATGCAATGGGTTTCTGCAATTCATAAAGATATTCCCTCCCATAGGTCTGCCTACTGGGGAGAAACAGAATTATTATTTTACAGTGTTGAGTGATTATCAAACTTTTTGGCTGTTTTTTTTTTTTTTTAAAGATTTAATTATTTAATTAATTTAGAGTGCGCACAGTGGGGGAGGGGCAGAGGGAGAGAGAATCTCAAGCTGACCCTGCGCTGAGCATGGAGCTGGATGCGGTGCTCGATATCACGACCCAGCTGAAATTAAGAGTTGGATGCCTAACTGACTAAGCCACCCAGGTGCCCCCTTATTTTTATTTAAAAAAATTTTTTTTAAAGATTTTATTTATTCATTTGAGACACAGAGATACAGAGAGAGAGAGAGAGAGAGAAAGCATGAGCAGGGACAGATGGAGAGGGAGAGGGAGAAGCAGGCTCCTCGCTAAGCCAGGAGCCTGATGTGGGGCTCGATCCCAGGACCCTGGGATCATGACCTGAGCCAAAGGCAGACGCTTAACCATCTGAGCCACTATTTTTATTTTATTTTATAGCACTGGCCACTTCTATGACTTATTTCATATCAGATCCTTGGTCAGCTCTATCCCCCAAGTCTCTGTCATCTCTGCTAACTGGTGTGAGAATAACTCCCCCCAAGTCCCGATTTGCTGTTATAGACCCTTTTCAACGCAGAGCTATAGACAGAAACTCCCAGTCAAGGGGACTTCACACTTGAGGTGAAAGCCTCTTTCCATCTCTGCCATCGGTCCATGACTTTTTGTAGCCAGCGGGTCCTTCTGAAAACATAAAACATCAATTTCCTTCCTTGATCAAAAACCTTCCCTGCTCAATGATTCTTCTCGCATTTCAAATAAAATCCTAACGCCTCACCTTGGCCTTCCAGAACCCATCCCTCTGAATCATCTGCGGCTCTTCGAGGTCACACTATTCCAGCCACACCGCCCTGTAATCTGTCTCCTAACTGTCTCTCCTTGAGCACATAAGCTCCACATGGAAAGAGGTCTGTCTGCTTTACTCACCACTGTGTCTTTGGCACCTACAATGCTGCCTGGTACCTAGTGGAGCCCTCAGTGAGAATCCAAGTCATGAGAGTATGTGAAGCATGCTACTGCGGACTGAATGTGGCCTCTCCATGTTGGCATGCTCTCTCCCGCTCGCAGCCACTGGCGACCTCCCAACATGACCGCCTCAATCAGAGAGTGTGAAAGTGAAGGCACTGTGTCCTTCCTGTTACATTTAACCTTTGCTAAAGCTTCCTCTGCTCTATAAAGTTCACCTCATTCATAAATTTACTGATTAACTGGCTTTTTCACTATCTGACCAGAGTGGCATTTATTGATGGGAGGAGGAACCGCAGAGTCGGAGAAGGTGGTGGTTGATGGTGGGGGGAGAGAGTCTAAATGTCCTAAGTCTTGGGTCAGGCAGACCCACAGTTTTTAGCAATAAAATCTGAGATAAGAGTGAGATATTTGCGAAGTAGGTGCTTCCTGCTGGGCTGCTCGCTCCTCCGCTTCTGTCCGCTCCGCGGCGGGAAGCGCCTTCCCCACAGGACATCAATGCAAGCCTGAATAAGAAAAACAATTTCTTCCTTCTAAGCCATGGCATATCAGTTATACAGAAACACCACTTTGGGAAACAGTCTCCAGGAGAGCCTTGATGAGCTCATACAGTCTCAACAGATCACCCCCCAACTTGCCTTTCAAGTTCTACTTCAGTTTGATAAAGCTATAAATTCAGCATTGGTGCAGAGGGTCAGGAACAGAGTCAATTTCAGGGGCTCTCTAAATACATACAGATTCTGTGATAACGTGTGGACTTTTGTTTTGAATGATGTTGAATTCAGAGAGGTGACAGAACTTATTAAAGTGGATAAAGTGAACATTGTAGCCTGTGATGGTAGAAATACTGGCTCCAATACTACAGAATGAATTGAAAAAAAATGGCTTTTTTAATGCCATCTTCTGTTATTATTCATCGCTTTTTTGAAGAGAAGCATAGAAGAGACTTTTTTTTTATTTATTCTGGCATCGCAGAAATGACTACACTGTGTTATAGATACTATCAGAATTCCAATAGAAAGAAGCCTATAACTCTAGCCTCTTACATTACCTTTTCAGCATGAAGAAACAGAAGTTTTTTTTTTAATAACAAACATTGTTGCCTTCCTAAGAACATTCTTGAATAAACTCATTTTAAAACTCAGTGTGAGTAATAAGTGGTAGAGCTATTAAGCTAGCAATATGAAGAGATTAGATAAGCATGTTGAAAGCGCACCATCTTCCTTACAAAGGAAATTAGGAAATGCATTCTTTTCAGTAAAGGGAAGTTAGTTTCATCAGGGCAAACCAAATTCTGGACTGGGATATGTCTTTTTTAAAAATATAAAACCAATCATTGGTGTGAAAGACCTAAGTACAACTCCATTAGGAAAAGTTAGACAATCTTTACACAGCTTCCATAACCAACACAAAACTAAAAAACCTAGCAACATAAAATAGTCTCCACATGACATGTAAATAACTTCTTAAGCTGGCCCTATTGGTCATATTTCATACATTTTAAAACTATCTACATCTTAACAGTTACTAGACTGCCAATAAAAAGTCCTACTGAATATAAAAAAAAAGAGTGAGATATTTGCATAATAATTTTTAAAGTCCATTTTTAGAACCGTCACATAGTTACACCCTTGTATATCCAGATGTAACCCATGATCATTACGGTTGCTAACAATCAATTAAAAAAAAAAGACATAAAAACCAATTCTTGAGATAAAGCATAAAGGGCGAGTGGGAAAGGAAATACCAGGCAGAGGACACTATAAATGGTCCACAATATTATTTTGTAGTTACACGTCCTTAGCAGTTTAAAAGCACTTTTATATCAATTATACAGCTAGCTCAAAATCTTCTTAAAAATAGGTAGAATATAAGTGATTACAAAGCAATAAATTTTAAATTCTCTTAAAGAGAATTTAAAAAATAAATTATCTCATTTAAATTCCACAGGACTTTGTGAGCTGGGTGGAGACACAAGATGCTTTTGGAAGAGCAAGGAAGAGCTCCCTGCACACCCACACGGGTCCCCTGACTGAAGGTGTGGTCTCTACAAGGCACCATCTTGGCATGAAGATGTCCTCCTTTCAACCTTCCTGCACCGAATATCCCACACAATTTCTGCTGCTTCCACAGCTTTTCTACCACCTTCTTAAAGACCGGGGGAAAAGCCAAGAGTGTGAATCAAGGCTAAGGGTCCAAACTTCCTTAGGGCTACAAATCATGAAAGTGGGTAATTCCCACAATATGTACTAAGGACCACACATCTGAAGGTAAACATCTACAGGGGGCATTTTGGAGCTCACAATTTATTGGAAGCACAGGGTTAAAAGTGTAGAGGGGATACTCGTATCCGCGAGAAGGTACAGATCTTTTCCAAGATGCTGCAAGGCAGAGCTGAGGAGAGCCTGACAATTCTCCCCCACCCCCCTGTGTTTGCAGTTAGGGAAACCCACTTAAAGGCAGGTGCAGGCATGGTGAGAATACCAGGCTAGGGGCTGTGAGACCTGGGACTGAGTTTGGCTCTGCTGCATCTTGAGATAGAGCCTTGGGCAAGCCACACAATCTCCCCGAGCTTCAGTTTCTTGTCTGTTAAAATGGGACAACAGTTTTAGAGCAACAAACTTATAATAACTCAGGGTGATTCTAAATACCAATTGAGGTAATATGTTCAAGTGCTTTGTAAATAATAAAATATAACATAAAATGTAAGGTGTTATCACCACAGCATCCTGTTTCTGAAATAATTTACATCTTCCTTCTGGAATTAAGTCTGGATCTAGCTTCTAGGCCTCAGGCAGGCCTGTGGAACAGGCAGGACTTGAGAAGTTCCTCACCTCATTACAAAACCTTAGTACAAGCAAGTCCATATTTATCTATCTATATTTTATTTTATATTTTTAACCTTAAATTTCTTTTTTATTGTTCTGGTGTTCTGTGCATACTCTTTTCTCCTTTCTTTAAAAAATTATTAAAGTATAATTAGGGGCACCTGGGTGGCTCAGTCGTTAAGCATCTGCCTTCGGCTCAGGTCATGATCCCGGGGTCCTGGGATTGAGCCCCGCGTCAGGCTCCCTGCTCCGCGAGAAGCCTGCTTCTCCCTCTCCCACTCCCCCTGCTTGCGTTCCCTCTCTCGCTGTCTCTCTGTCAAATAAATAAAATCCTTAAAAAAATTATTTAAATATAGTTGATGCACAATGTTATCTTAGTTTCAGGTGGACAACAAAATTCAACATCTCTATACATTAATGGTATGCTCACCACAAGCGTGGCGACCATCTGTCCCCAAACAATTCTACTACAATACAATTGACTATAATCCCTATGGTACCTTAGATCCCCCTGACTTACTCATTCCATAACCAGAAGCCTGTATCTCCCTCTCCCCTTCTCCCATTTTGCCCACCTCCCTACACCATCCCTCTGGCAACCATCAGTCTGCTCTCTGTATTTATGGGTCTGCTTCTGCTTTTTATTTATTCATTTATTTTTTCAAGTGTTTACTTAAATTCCAGTTAGTTAACATACAGTGTAATATTAGTTTTGGGTGTAGAATTTAGTGATTCATCACTTACATACAACACCCATCACCCATTTAATCCATCCCCTGCCTACTGCCTGCCTGGTCATGCTCCACATTTAAGTGAAATCATATGGTATTTGTCTTTCTCTGTTTGGAACTAAGTCCATATTTAAATGTTGCCTTCAAGGTCAATGTGTCTGTGGGCTTAGTTTTGGGCATAAAATGTTTAAAATACTACCATTCTGCAATTTGCCTCCAATGGAAAACTTTTATTTCACTTCGTTCATTGAAAAACATTCTATTTTCATCAAATCTTCCTTAATCAAACAGCCTCTTGTATTAGATAATTTTCTCTCAGGAATACTATAATCACTTTAGAAACGCTCTGTTCTCTTGCTTGATTTGGGAACACAGATTTATTTTAGTCTAAATTTTATTACTTTTAATTGTTTCTGGTCTAGCAACATTTTTTTCTTCCTGAAAGTGCCTTTCTTTTTTAAGCTCCTGAATGATAATCTACCATTAAAGGAATGCTGTCGAATGCCCCTTTTTGTTGGAAGCACTTAAGAGATGAATAAAAGTATCATACATGGAGTCTACATGTTATTTTGAGGACAAACTACGTTTATTTATTTATTTATGAGAGGGAGAGAGTATAGAGTGGGGAGGGGCAGAGGCAGAGAGAGAATCTTAAGCAGGCTCCATACCCAGCGTGAAGCCCAACGTGGGACACGATCTCACGACCCTGAGATCATGACCCTGAGATCACCACCTGCGCGGAAATCAAGAGTCTGATGCTTAACCAACTGAGCCACCTAGGCACCTTGAGGCCAAACTACTTAATACAAAGTGATATTTGTGGTTCTATGTAGTTCACTAGATACAGAGATCAGATCCTCTCTAGTTTTCTGTTATTTTCTTTCTAGACGAATAGTCAATAAAATGCTCACTGGAAAAAGGTCATTGAGAAATTGCGATACAGTAATCATGCTCAGGTCCAGTAGCATGATCTTCCATGATGTATGCTGGGAAAAAAGAGCACTGAACGGAAACCCACCTCTGACTAACTTTGGAGAAACCCCTTAACATCTCTGCCCTCGGGTTCCTAACCTGACAAAGGAGAGAGCAGGACCGGGTGCCATCTGAAGCTTCTTACAGCTTTAATGTTCAATTTGCTTAATTACAGCACAACCAAAACAGTGTTTGCGCTCCCAGCCCCAAGGGTTTTCCGCGACGGGAGGAAATTTCAAAGTGTTCTCGGCATCCTCAGTCACCCGCCCCGATTCTACCAGCCTGGAAAGCCTCCAATGTCTACCTATGTTCTATCCTGATTTAGGAATGACCACAATTCTGCAAAGCCCAAACGACGTATCAAATATGTATGCAAGATGTGTTTTTTAGAAAATATTAATGCTAAGTCTGTCTTATATAACAAAGAATTTCAAGTATCACTTCACTGGGGACACAGAAGCTGTGTTGCCTCTGTTGATGTAAAGTAGCCGTGGGCGAAGCAGGCAGGAGAAAGTGATGCTGGGATTCACATGGGGAAGCCTCTTACTATCTCAAAGGGAAACTGAGGCACAGAGCATTATGCAGAAGTGTCCCGTTACTGAGTAACTACGAAACAAGTGAAAGGAAAATTGTCTTAATTTTACAGTGGACTTTTACTTTTTGTTAGGGAACAGGGCTTGTCCTGTGATGAATCTGATCAGAGGTGACAGAATTACTGAAGCGCTAAGAATAACCTCTCACCTCTGAGGCTGGCCCACAGCAAGCGTCCTGAGCATGGTGATAAAAGGAGACGCTCTGATATAGGAGAGGGGCGGGGAGGAGAGGCAGGAGAAGGTGGAAGAAAGAGAAAGGCGGGGGAGGCCATATACCACAAAACCCCAAGGTGAGGGAAGAGGAACGGGAAAGCAATCAGGTTCAAAAAACCAGACCCACTTCCCATTACCTTAAAGAGAAATTCAAATAGAAGGAAATGATGCAAAAGCAGCACCTCCCACAGTTAGACTCCTTATTCTACGTAACACACACACGTATGTGTATGTGTGTGTTACATATGTTTATTTTACGCAGCTGCCTGGTTGTTGTGCGAGTAAGCGAATTCCCGCAGAAGGTTAAGGACTGAGGTTAAGGAATCTGGTGTCAGCATAAATGTTAAGAGCAGAGAAGGATACAGACTAAATAGTAAAGACTAAGACCCAGTTGTTATCTAGTTGTTCTTTTAATTTTTTGGCAATTGTTTTAAAAGTGTTTCTCTAGTTTTGCTCTACTTTCCAAGGGAAAGCCAGGTTAAGTCCTCTGCTAAAACAGAGACGTCGAGAAGGTAAAGTCACTTTATTCATGACTCATTTCGTCACCTCGCTCCTGGACTCCTGTCCCAGTCTCCGAGCGGGTCTCCCTGCCTGGGCCTGGGCCCCCCATTCTCAGCACAAGAGACAGAGTAATCTTAGTAAAATGCAACCCAGATCGTGTGCCACCTTGTTCAAAATCTTCCAGTACTTTCTGTCTGGTTCAGAGTAAAGGGTGAAGGACTCCTGCTGGCACAGTGCCTGTCGCCTCTGACCTGACTGTAAACCCTCCTCCTCCCACTGTAGGGCCTTTGTATTTGTGGTTCTCCT